GCGACATCACAGGGAAGAGGGGCGCCGCCGCAACTCCGCCCCCACGCGGCACGGCTGCGCGCGGGAAACTACAGACCCCGGCATGCACAGCGGCGCCGCCGGGCCCGGCCGCCCCCGGTGCCGGTGCCGCCCCGGTACCGCCATGCCGGAGCAGATGAGCGTGGCCGAGTTCCTGGCCGTGACCGGCGAGGATCTGAGCTCCCCGGCCGCCGCCGCCGCCTTCGCCTCCAAGATGCCCAAGTGCCGGGGGGCCGTGGGGGCGCTGGAGGAGGTGAGCGGGGCCGGGCGGTGCAGGGCGAGGGAACGCGCTCCCCGCTTAGCAAACACCCCCTCCGTATGCACACCCCCCCTTCCCGTTCCTCTCGGGCTGCGGGTGCCACTCGCACCCATAGGTGCTGCTGCTTGCAGTGCCCGCCCTCCCTGGTGCGTCACCCGCTACTTGTTGGAGTGCCCCCCTCCGTGCTCTGCCCCCCACGGTCGGGAGGCTGCTGGTCGTGCCCCCTCGTGTTTTCAGCTGCTTGCTTGCCCTGGTGCCATGTCCTCCCCGCAAGCGGCAGCGTGGRGGGGACTGGAAAACTTTTGGGGGGTGGCTGGTGCCATCCCTGATGCCCATCAGGGTGCTGTGGGGGCCGCAGGGCAGCCCGCGCTTGGGGCTCCATCCTCCCGAGGGGCTTGGGCCGCCCTTTCCCTCCATTCTGGGACTTGGGGCGCTCCGAGGGCCCCCTTGCACCCTCAGCTCCGGTGACTCCCGTCACGCAGTGGAAATCTCCAGCTCTGCTGGGCTGGGAAGCGCCTGCCAGCCCTGAGCCGGGGCCGCCCTGCAGCGATGCCCCCCAGCACTGAAAACCCAAGCAGGGTTTTAGCCCCCCATGGCCGCCCTGGCAGGGAAGGGCTGGGATGTGCCAGAGCTCCGTCCCCCTCTCCTGCCTTTAACTGAGGCGCTTTCCAGCTGCTGCCGTGTCCTTCGGCAGCTCCTCTCGGCCAGGGGCGGCTCTGAGGGAGAGCCAGGCGGCGCCGGGAAGTGGGGCCGGTGCCAGAGCCTGGGGTCTCTGCCCAGCCCCGCGGCTCTGGCTCCATCCTCCCAGCAGGACAGGCTGGCCAGGAGCCTCCTGGCTGGCCAGGAGCATCCCGGCGCGTGCACCCGCCACTGCCTCCTCCCTCCTTTTGCCCTGGCCTGGGGTAGGGGGAAGCAGTGGGGATTTTGCTTGGCACCCTCAGGGGCTGCAGTGGATCCAGAGCTGCCGTCTCTGCGGCGAGAGGCAAGGGGGCCGCGGCGGCTCTGCTGCGTGTGCTCCGGGAGGGGAGTGGGGCCCRGCTGGGATGGGACTTGGCACTGAGCCCGTGGCAGCTCAGGACTCTGCAGTTGAATTTTCATGTGAACTGATGTGTTTTTGGGGCCTGAATCCCCCCCGCTCCTCCTCCCTGTGSTGCATGGAGCGCCCTGCTGCCAGCACTGCAGCCACCCCGTGCTTGGGCCTGTGCTGGRCTCTTGCAAGGCCGGGGCAGCAAAGCGGCTCCCTGAGGCCTGAACCCGCTCCGGTTGCTCTCCTGTTTTCATGGCTGAGCCCTTGGGAAGGGAGGAGACAGCAGGGGGTTCCTTGGCCCTTCTGCAGGGATCAGCTGGGAGGTGCTGAGCCCCATCCTGCCCTCGGGGACGGGCGAAAAAGTTTTCCCGGCACCCAGTGGTGTGGGGYGGTGCTGGGTGCCACTTGCCCRAGGGTGCTGCGGGCACKGGGTGCTGTGGCTCTGGGTGGGACGAGCGTTTCCCTGCTGCTCACGGAGGGGCAGGAGGAGGAGAGGCAGAGATCCAGGGGTCCCGCGCCAAAGCTCCCCCTTCTCCTCCAGCTGCTCCCAGGCGGGAGCTGGGCCCGCGGCACACGGAGCCCTTCCCTCCCCGCAGCGCGGCTCCCGTGGCTAATCCAGCCTCGGTTTCCTCTTCCCCGGGCCCAGCCTTTGGCAATGCAGGCTTTCTGGAGCCCTGCCTGGGAGCTGCAGCGCGTTGGGGCTTTCGCTGCTGCCCCAAGGCAAGCGGGTGCCCCAGGAGAGCCCGGGGCGGCTGCAGCCACGGGACGTGGGTGCCTTGGGGACCCCAGGGGTTCCTTGCAGCGCAGTGACATCCCTCGGGGCCACGACAGGGCTGGCGAGTCCTGGGGCWCCCCGCACAGCTGTCCTGTGGGGGACAAAGCTGTTTTCTTCAGGTCCCCCAGCACCCCGGGGCGGCCGTGGCCGGGGCAGCCGCTTCCCACCTTTTCCCTCCACTTGGATCCCCGGCCCCGCCGAATCCTGCCTCCCTCAGAGCCGGGTTGACCTCGCTGTCCGGAAATTGGCCTTGACATCAGCCCCCAAACCTCCGGCGAGCGAGCGGCTCCTTCTTGCAATTCCTCCGCGGTTTCATCCCTCGCCCTTCTTGCCGTTCCCGCCCTCCGAATATTTGCAGGCTGTTATCATGCCTCGGGTACCTGCGGCGCAGCCAAGCTGCCTTTAACTCTTTCCTGATGGAGCCGTCCATGGCCCGCTGCCTCCGGAGCTTTTCCTGGCGCTCCACATCCAGCGGGGGCAGGTCCGATGCATCCCCACTGGATGCGGGGAGGAGGTGCTGGCAAGGGAGCCATGCGGGGGGCACTGCCTGAGAAGACTCCCTTATGGGATGAAATGGGGGGCCCCAGCTGCCATCCTGCACATCCACGCTTGGCAGCATTCCCGCCTCCRGGATTTGCAGTCTGGGCGGTTGAAGGCCTTGCGAAGATGCGGCAAGTGTCTTGGGCTCCGCACGGAGCCCTGCGGCTGCTCCGGGGGCACCAGAGCCCTTCCCTGTGGCGTGCAGGGCCCGGGAAGGAGCCTCGGCGCCGCTTGGCGAGGTGCGGGCTCTCATTCGGGTTTGTTTCTGCGCTTCCACAGAGCCTGGACGGGGACCAAGCCGTACTCCAGAGGATAAGGAAATACGTGAAAGCCATTCATGTCTCCGGGCTCAGTAAGTCGGGCTCTGGGAGGCAMCAGGCATCCCCATGCCCAACCAGTGCCCTGAATGCTCCCATGCTCCRTGAGCAGCCTCCATGCCCATCCGTGGGGAGGCAAGCTCGGAAAGGGAGGTCCTTGAGCATCCCAGCGCCTCCTCGCTGGAGGCCGCGGGGACGCGGGGACGCAGCCGGGATGCTCTGAGGATCCCCCTGGGCCGGGCTGCCGCCGGGCTCTCACCGGAGCCGCGTCCCCRCAGCCCATGCGGAGAACGAGGAGCAGTACAGCGAGGCCCTGGAGAGCTTCGGCAACAACCACCTCTCGCAGAGCAACCACGAGCTTTCCACCGGCTTCCTCAACCTGGCCGTCTTCACCCGCGAGGTCACCGCGCTCTTCAAGAACCTGGTAGGGCGCCCAGTGCCGCGGGGCCCATGGCCAGGGTGGACGGGGCAGGCACGGAGCGGAGCGAGCGCCCAGCGCACGGTGCTTGCCCGCTGCTCCGGGCGCATCCGAGCCGCCCGGGCCGCGTTCCGCTGCTCCCTCCCGGCACCATCTGCTTAGGGCCGTGCTCTTCACTTCTATATTTCTCCCTTTCTCCCCCATCTCGCATCAACCGCGTCAGTGCCAAGAAAGTGAATCCAGGCAGCCCYGGGGAGCTGGAGGGAGCGGCAGCTCCCGCTTTCCTCTCAGAAAAGCTGCTTTTTGTTTCGTTTTTGTTTTTTTCCTCTTGTTTTGCGGGGAGGTGAGGGTGGCTGGAGGTGCTGGCGGGACCGGGTGCCAGGTGCCCGGGAAGGGGCAGTGCCGGCTCTGGAGAGCACGGGGCTGCCCAAGCGCCCGTCGCGGGCACAAAGGCAGGGCGCCTGCCTTTGTGGGGCTCTTCCAGTGGCCTCCCCCACTGCCTGCCCGCTCTGCTCCCCATTATCCCTCCTGGAGCCCCTGCGTGAAAAGCCAAGGTGTCCAAGTGGTTCCTGGGGCGAGGGAAGCCCCACTTGCCTGTGCCCTGCGTGTGTGTGTGCCCTGTGCGCGTGGGAAAGGCCCGGCGTGGGAATGGCCGCGGCGCTGCCGCCGACCCCTCCTAGCCCCGGTCCTGCCCTTCCTCCTCTTCCTCGAGGYTGAAGGCAGGCGGGTCAGAGTGGGGACCGCAGCTTGGGATGGGGCTGGGAACCTCCCGGTGTCCCGGAGGTGTCCGCTGGGACATCCCTGCCAGGGAAGGGGATCACAATAGAGCCCCGTCTCCGCGCAGGCGCCGGGGCGGTCAGCGGGAAGGGTCCCCGTCCCCGTCGCCCATTGCAGCCCGTGCACTGCAGCCTGCCCCAGCGCTGCCCGGGGCTGCCCCGCGCAGCCCCTCACCCTCGGCGGGACCGCCCCGCGTGCCCACGCCGTGGGGACACCGGTGCCATGGCCGCGCTGCCCTCCCCGCCCACGGCAGGTGCAGAACCTCAACAACATCGTCTCCTTCCCCCTGGACAGCCTGCTGAAGGCCCCGCTCAGGGACGGGCGCCTGGTGAGTCCCCCGCGYGGGACGGGGCGGCCGGGGGTGGCAGTGCCCTCGTGCAGGGGGCCGGCTGGGTGTCCCCCCAGCTGGCGCGGGGGGAATGTCCCTATGGGGCTCGGGCGGCTGGAGGGGTCCCTCCGCAGCGCCCTGCTCCTCCGCAGGACGCCAAGAAGCACATCGAGAAGGCCTGGAAGGATTACGAGACCAAAGTGTAAGTCCCCGGTGCCTCCAGCGCCGCCTAATCCCCCGCACACAAAGCGGGTTTGTGCTGCGGCTGCGGCTGGTGCCGTGCTCCCGAGCAGGAAAACCTGCTCCGCTATCCCTGCTCCCGTCCTCCCTGCTGGAAGGACATGAGCATGGAGGGACTGTTTCCTATTCCCTCCTGTCGGTGCATCCCCCATTGGCGCGTCCCGGCTCCGCCGTGGTTCCCTTTCCTGCTTGCTGCCCGGCAGAGGGAAGCTGGAGAAGGAGAAGGAGCGCGCGCGGCCRGCCGGGTCCCCCCAGGCGGAGCCGGCGCCGCTGGAGGCGGCTGAGGATGTGCAGAAGGAGCGGAGGCTCTTCCAGCTCCACATGTGCGAGGTAGGAGCCCAGCGGGGCTGCGGGATGCSGCATCCCCCCAAACCCTGGCAGGAGCCCGGGGCAGGGCTGTGGGATGCAGCATCCCYGGGTCCCAAGCAGGGCCGGGTGAGCGGCTGCGGCAGCGGCTCCAGGCTCAGCGCAGGGCTGCGCCGCTGGGGCCTGCCCGGATGACTCATTCCTTTGAATAGCAGCACTGTTAAATAAATAACAGCACATGGAGAGGCTGCTCCGAGCGCCGGCCGGGGAGGGGCTGCCGTGGGTCTCGCACCCTCGATGCTGCTTTTTGGGGGAGCCGCACTGCAACCCAGGGGCTGCTCTTGCATATGTTGCACGTGTACATATGTGTGCGTGCGTCTGCATGTGGGATTTGCTGCTCCCGGCACGGAGACAGACTCCGTTTGCTTCCTGAGTCTGACAATGAGGGGGTTGGAATGGCCGGATCCCGCTCCCTTGCGGGGCTGGGAGTATCTCAGTGCTCCCACTGGGAGGCCAGGCTGCCGGGACCTTCCCGCTGCCCCCCTTGGACGCAGGGAGCTCCCGCGGGGTCCGGGCACCTACGGCTCCTTCCGGCCAGGACTTTGCTCAGGGCTGTTCCAATGCTCGGCACTCGGCTCCGGGTCGAATCCTGCCGGCTCCGGAGTGGCCRGGGCCCTTCAACTGCCCCTTGTCCCAGGGAGCTCCTGGTTGTGGCTCCGTGGGGAAAACGGAGCCCCGAGCAGCCACGTGGCCCAACCATGCGCCCCTGCCAAGGAACGGGAGTTGGAGCCTGGGCAGGGACCCGGGCGTCCTGCCCCGGCCCCCTCTCT